TTTCTACAGGTACCTGTTCTGTTCCTAGGATAGAGGCATTAGGATATGTAATTTGCCATATCTCACCAAAAATATGTTGTTTAGTAGGGAACATAGTGACTTGTAGGTCCCCCTACCCTTTGAATAAGCCAAAGGGCCACTGATTAAGTAAGTCACAATCCTACCCTAAAAACCATTAACTCTGGCTGGTAAAATAGCTCAAGTGGTAGAGCACCTGCCTAGCAATCTTGAGGTCCCGAGTTCAAACCCCAGTACCACCAAAAAGAAATAAAGCAAAACACACAACCTCCCCCCAAAAAACATGGCCTCTACCTACTCCATGCAGATTTGTTCTTGGACACATTTTTCATAATCGTGCAAATTCCAGGTCAAGGATCCGAGCTTTACTTATGGTAAGTTAACAAAGATGCAGCCCGGCAGCTGGGAGAAGAGGCATGGAGTAGAGCAGTGCTCCTGACAGCAAGTGGGGCAAGAGAGACTCAGCTGTTGGCACTCACCTCCTGCTCCTTTTGAATGGAAGGGAGCTTACCTGGGTCACGTTACTCTCTGGTCAAAATGATATGACAAGGCAAGGGTGTGTACCTGTGTATGAAGAAGTTTTGAGAAATGCTTAAGTGTGTATGTGAATTTGTTAATTGACAGCTCCTCCCATTACCCTCCCCCATCAGGTATCCAAATTAATCCAGAATTATGGTAGAAATTGTCATAAGTAAATGAGATTTGGTTGAAAAGTAAAAACACCATGTGAGGCAGAATAAAATAAAATTACCCTCATACTACTGGAAATAAAAGGGACGTTCTGGAGTGTTTCTGGCCACTGAAGAATGGCAACTTCACACTAATCTTATTGCTCACTTTAGTGTACAGTTTGGATGATTTTCATCAACAGTGTAATAAAAACTCGTGAATGACAACCCAACACTGCCAGCCTCCTTCAGTGGAGCCCACCTCCTCCCATAGGTGCTGAAAAGGCTGACACTGCCTTTTGCAACCTGTCTGCATAACTCAATCCTGGTCTATGAAATATAAAGGAATTTTTACAGTGGGAAAGATCTTTATCCCGGATTTAAAGAAGAGACATTTAAAGACCCTTTTATTTCTCTCTTTCCTTTTGACTTTGGATGCTGTCATGTGAAGATGTGATGCCTGGAGCTGCGGCAGCACTCGTGTGATCAGACAGCCCTCAGCCTGAAGCTGAACGCTAATGCATAAAGGAAGGTAAGAGTGGAAAGAATGAAAAGAGCTGCCAACCTAGTCCTGAGGATTCCCTACTACAGATTTAAGTAGCGAAAAGTCATTAGGTGTAAACCACTGTTTATTTTTTTCCCCCTGCAGCTGAAAACATCTAACTGATACAAATGTTGTAAGTGCTTTCTTTGATCTTCTGGGTTTAATCTTTTCCCCACAGTCTTAACAGCTGTGGAGGTTGGAGAGACAGTGCCTATTACTGCACCACTCTGAATGCTGTGAGGTCCCGGAAAATCATTTATACTGCACAAATGCAAAAAGAGAAACAGTAGCTGGGTGCTACTCATGCCTGTAATCCTAGCTACTCAGGAGCGCAGATCAGGAGGATCATGGTGCATAGTTTTGGAGACCCTATCTTGAAAGAACCCCTTCACAAGAAAGGGCTGGTGGAATGGCTCAAGGTGTAGGTTCTGAGTTCAAACCCCAGTACCACAAAAATAAAACCCCCAAAAGAGAAACAGTAAAAAGTACTTGTGTGTTAAGTAGACATCAGCTTTCATGCTGTGAGGGACATGAAACTGTCTTCTTCCTGGGGGAGTGAGTGTGGTGGTGCCTTAGGAGGCTGAGCAGGAAGTGTTAGGATAACCTTTGGTGAAGGTCACCAACAGCAGAGTCTACAAGTGCAGCTTCCAGGTTTTAATGTTAAGGGGCCAGAAGCTTCAGAATCACGAAATTGTTGGGATTCACCAAAACTGAGTACATGCAAGCATCAGCAGGGCTGTGCTGAACTGAAAGGAAGAGTTAGACTTTAGGAAACACCTACGTTTCGATGACTTAAGCCTGGAAGTGTTGGCCTTAAAATACTTATCTTGTGTTTATGATATGTGGACCAGGATCTCGTCCATGTGAGAGGCTGTAGGTGCTCAGACCCTCCTGCTTGATGCCAGCACCCCATGGTCCATGGGTCCTTTGGCTCTGTGACAGTGGAAACTGCAGAGGTGAGGCAGAGACATGACTGCCCCTATAATGAACAACGAAGCTCTGCTGTTGAATGCCAGAGGCTGATTGCAGACAGAAATCTGTTTCTAGAAAATGGCTTCCTTTACAATTTTCTTATTTTTGGAAAAACCAAAGACAATACTTTAGTTTGCTCCTATGCCATACATGAAGCAGAGCTGAGAGACAAGGTGGAAGGGTGACGGCAATCTAACACACTGCATGTTGATTTTGAGCTTGAAGGCTGAGTCTGCAAATCGCTCAGGACACTGGCCTGCCACCTGCTAGTCAATTGCCTTTTAGAAACTCCGCTGCCCACCTCAGGCCTAGTTTCTTTGACTCCTTTAGTAAGAGGTGGACAGGATGAAATGGACCTAACATCATTTATATGGATGCCCCCAGACTGATGTTTCTTACACTGAACTCAGCCTGTGGAGGCCAATTCAGGAAGAGCTGGTTTCAGAGGTGGGCAGTTTACTCCACAGGGAAGGTGAAAGGAAGGAGCTGCAGCAGCACCCGCCCCCTCCTTCTACCTGCTGTGGCCCAGGACTTCCCTCCTAGGCTTTTGTGCTGTGTGTTGCTGCAGACCCAAGGCTGTGTTTGCAGGTCTGTGAGGCAATGCCTACTAGGGATGAAGCAAGACCTGGAGTTCTGATGGCACTGGGGATGTGCCCTTCCTGACCTTTGGTGACATAAGTGAAAAAAAGGAAATTCTTGTTTGTTCAGGCTAGCTGACTGGGATTTCCATTACTTGCCACCTGTGTCTTCATTAGCTATCTCCACAAACCTCATTGTTTCCCCTCAAGTAATTAAAATGTTTAACACAAGCATGCTAAAGAATTCTTTTGTGTAACACAAATTTATTTTGCAAATCAAATAAAATTCATTTTCAAATTTATTTTCTAGGTAAATCCAAATTTTAGGTATTAGATTTACTTACAATTCACTAGTGATATCACTTTACAATTGGGTAGAACTAACAGTTTAAATACAGTTTTCCCTGGCAGAAGTTATTGGAGTTTTTCATATTTAATTTGAACCTTCAGAAAGTGATTCAGTCACATAGAATTAAAATTTTAAATAATAAAAATACATTCACTCTGTAGACAGTAAAATATAGTGGAATATTTGCTGAAGCAATAAAAGGCTTTAGAAATTATTTGGGTTATAGTCAAAGGAATGTAAGTGTAAAACTGTAGAATGATATTTTCCAAATTGAATTTCAATAAAAGGCTACACATTTTCAAATATTTTACATACATAAAGAATAAATTACTTCTGGTTAACAAGTTTTTGCTTTAGTGCCAAAAAGCTACAAATTTGATTCCATTATGTTAAAAGTCAACATTTTCTAGACCTGAGTTCTACAGTATGGCAAACATGTCATTTGTTCAACAGGATGCAGAGGTCAGCACGCAGCACAGAAGGGTGGTGGAAGGAAGTGCTTACCAATGCTCACACGGTTAACAGACAGGCAGAGTGGGAAGAAGGGGCTACAAAACCAGAGGGACGTAACATCGCAGCACAGCTACTGACTGACAGGGCCACCCAGGTCAGAGACATGTTTGCTGGGGTGCAGGATTTTTGTTTTCAAATCGTTTGGTGACAAATTCCAGCAAGACTTCTTGGTTGAGTCAAGCTTTTCTTCTTGAACTTAGGACTTTCCGACTGAGGTGCGTGGCATACTTAAGGGAAAAAAACGCACACATTCAGGTTTTGCTAGATAATTAAGCAAGAAAGTCGGCTAAGAGAATAAAACCAATACAGAAAATGTGTTTTCAGTAAGGAACTGTACACACAGAGGTTTTGCTTATCAACAGAGCAGGACAGGGGTGAAGGTGGAGTTTAGGCTCTTTAAAAAGGTAAAGGGCAGGGGAGTGGAGTGGGAGCAAAGCAGAGGAACCCGTTAGGAATGAAGAGCGCTCAGTGCATGCAAAGGAGACACCAGGACCCTGCAGGGCATGGCTTCTGCTCTGTGTACTTGACAGTGCTTCCTTCCCCCTTGTGGGCTGGTGGGGAAGGGGAGTAGGGAGACAGTGTTAATTTTCCCCTGTGCATTAGGTTGGTACCCATTAGGTTTTGCCAAACATCTTTCCACTTTATACTTCTAATACCCAATTTCTTAAGGTGCTCTGAAATTTTTTTTTTTTTTTGGTGGGCCTGAGGTTTGAACTCAGAGCTTTGCACTTGCAAAGCAGGCACTCTACTGCTTGAGCCACATCTCCAGTCCGTTTTGTTCTGGTTATTTTGGAGCTGGGGGTGGGGGGAGTGTCTCTTGAACTATTTGCCCTTGCTGGCTTCAAACCAAGATCCTTCCAATCTCAGCCTCCCAAGTTGCTAGGATTACAGGTGTGAACCACCAGTGCCCGGATGGGGATCTAAATTCTCATAGCACAGGTTCTTTGAATAGACACAGAAAGTGTCTAGTCATAGCATGCCCACAGATGTCCAAGCCAGAAGTATTGTATTTTGGGCACAACACTTTTCAAATACATTTTACTAAAGGGAATGCAGCCCTGAGCCCCACAAAGGCCAGATATGCATGCCCTCCACATGCTCAAAAGGACAGTTCATTGTCCCCAGAGTCCCCAAAAGGCTGTTCTGTGCTGCAAAGAACTGTGCAACCCACACCACTAGGAGAGATGACATAGGAATGCTTCCAGCAGATGCAAGAATGTCACTCCACCATGTTATTTAAAAGGTATTTGTGCCAGGTGCTGCTGGCTCACGCCTGTCATCCTAGCTACTCGGGAGGCAGAGATCAGGAGGATTGAGGTCCAAAGCCAGCCCAGGCAAATAGTTCATGAGACCCTATCTTGAAAAAAGCCCATCAGAAAAAAGGGCTGGTGGAGTGGCTCAAGGTGTAGGTCCTGAGTTCAAATTCCAGTACTGCAAAAAAAAAAAGGTATTTGTGAGCAGGATGTAAGGCTACTTTTCTGTTTCAAACCTATGCAAGGTCAGTGCTTACTTTGAAACCATAATTGCATATGGGTTTTCATTTTGGAGGTGTGACGTATGGTAAGAGTGCCTGAGCTTCAGGCTCTTGCTCCAAGCTCTAACAAAAGCTGTTGTGACCCCATGCCTCACTGGGATGTCATTCTCACAGGCATTCCATTAGTAAGGCAACTGTGAATGGGCATTCTTTTCTGGGACCCTCTCCTTGAAAGGGGAAGAATATATTGATAAAATATTAAGTGGTTAAGACAATTTTTGATTTACCTACAAAGGATTAAATTATATTACAATCTGGGGGCTGGCAGAGTGACTCAAGTGGTAGAACACCTACCTAGTAAGCCTGAGTCCCTAAATTCAAACCCCAGTACCTCCACAAAAAATTATTTTTCAATTTGAAACTGTTATCACTAATACAAAAATACTTGACTTTCCTATTATATAGTGCTCAGAATCTTCAGTTTACAGTAATGTTTTCTAAAAAGGCAATGACTTAGCACTTTTTAAAACTTGGAAATTACATCCAAAGGACAAAAGGTAACATTTTTACCCATGTGGCTGGAACAGTGACAATGGGTAACTTATTCTACCACTCTGATCAGGAATCCTCATGTGGTTCCTCCACTGCCCCAGACTGTGGGCTCCATGCAGGTGGGGAAGGTCCTGGCAGCGCCACTCCTTCCAAAACGCTGACTCTCACCCACCAGTCAGAGATTTCAATCAGAAAAGAATCTGCTTCTCCAAAATAACCCTAGCTGTGTCTAGGATTTAGGGTAGGTGTGAGGAAGTCTTTAGCAACAGGAAGAAGCAATTGAGATTAGGCTGAGGCCAGGGGATGATAGTTCTCTCATTTGGGGAGCTTCAATATAAGCAGGTCATAGGCAAAGTTGCATTCAATAGCATCATGAGTTTCACTGCAAAGTGTGCATGCTATCTAGATACCTTACCTCACGGGAGGAAAGCTGAGTGCCCTCACCCCACATATAAAAGCAGATGAAGACCAGAAGGAATAGACCGAACCACAAACTGAAGCAGAGTTCTATGCTGAGAATTAGATAATGCCACAAATAGTGCTCTCAAATTATAAGGGTAAAGGAAGGAGAAAGGGAAATCTAGCTTTCTAAGAAATAAAGGAAGCTGGGCATGGTGGAGCATACTTATTATCTGTGAACTCAAAGAGGCTGAGGCAGGAGGATCATGAGTTTGAGGCCAGTCTGGGCTATCCAGAAAGAGACCTTATCTGAAAAAACAAAACAACAAAAAGAGAGGTGAAAAAGTCCCTGTTACAATTACAATGCTTCATCAGGCAACAAGATTTTCTAGCTGGAAGGCACATTAAAAATAACCTTAACTTGCTAAGACAGTGGAAATCAAGAGAAAAAAGCCTCCTTTAGGTGTATTAGTACATTATTGACACACCAACCAACTACAACAGTAGCAACACAGGCACAGGAAGTAGCAGACGTCAGTAGGGAAGGAGGAGTTGGTGCTCTGGGTTGAATTCACTAATTCTTCAGCACGTAAAGTCTCTGTGCCTGGTACATGGAAATCCCAAATTCTCTATGTGACAAAATATTTAAAATTGAAGAAACTTATACAGATATTTACTTTGGTATGCACCACAGGTTAGACAAGTTCATCAGTTTAGCTGAGTAGACTCCAACTCATGGTCCACACCACTCAGTCCTAAACACAACTAAACAGAGAAGATGTGATGAAGGACTGTGGAATCTTTACCTTGGTTGTATACCCACAATTCACATAAAAATAAAAATATGCATTAAGTCAAAATCAGGAACAAAATTTGAAACAAGAAAACAAGGACAAAAATCTGGTATTCTTTAAGGCAAAACAATGGCAATCTCCTTAAATAGACTTTATTACATCCACAGGCGATAAAATCCCAATGCTACCGTCAGGCATGTGAATACAGACCCTGTAAAAAAAAATAATTGAGAGTACTGTTAGTTGTATCAACAGATACTTGAAGGAACTTTCTTTTTAAACACTCATGAGATATCATAAGCTATCTAGAGGTGATTTAAAGTGTACTTGACATCTATTAAGAACACATAAGGCTGGTTATGGTGGTACATGCCTGTAATCCCAGCTCTTGGGAGACGGAGGCAGGCATACTGTGAGTTTAAGGCCAACTTGTGTTTTAAACACTGTCTAAAACACAAGCAAATTCCAAAAACCAACCTGAAAAAAATGTAAGTTTCTTTTGATATATACATTTTCATTCCCTATTTTGGCTCAAAAATTTGAAAAGCAAAATAACTCCTTAAAAGAATTGTCACCAATGGAAGCAGAAAGTTACAACTCAAACGCCTTCCATTTTATCCATCAGATGTTCCCTGTATTTAATTTCACTAAAATCATTCACTGATAGCATCTTATCAAATGTAGGACCCCATCGAAAGTAAAATACACCACTTAAAAAATTTATTACTGGATGCTAGTGGCTTAGGCCTATAATCCTAGTTTCTTGGGAGGCAGAGTTCAGGAGGATTGCAGTTCAAAGCCAGCCTTGGGCAAACAGTTTGGGCGACCCTACCTAGAAAATACCCAGCCCAAAAAGGGCTTGCGGAGTGGCTCAAGTGGTAGACTGCCTACCTAGCAAGGGTGAGGCCCCAAGTTCAAGTCCCAGTACCACCAAAAAAAATATTACTCAAAGAGGAAAAAGTGCAAATTACAGTATGATGCTCCATCTATTGAAAATTATAAGATACTTTCCAATTTAAAAGATGTTAAAACATGAAAAAAAAAAAGTCAGTGAAATGCACTACCTGTCATGGACTCATTTTATAAATTTGATGTATTTTCTTTTCTGGTTGTTTTAAATACTTAGATATAAACCATTTTACCTGCTAAGTATTTGATAGTATCAAGCTTGTGCACCTCAAGCATGGTTTTGAGGCCAGCAACCTCAGTTTCTATCTTCCTGTCTGTCTGGGTCAGGGCCCGGTCTTGCTGGGCGTGCTTTAAAACAAAGAGGTTCAGACCATTAGAGCATCTGGGTGTGCTGTCTTCTCTGCTGTCTTCTTGGTCAGGTACAGTCACAGGGCAGCCTGGGGGAACTAGGAGCCTGGGTTTAGTCTTGGTTCTATGATCTTCACACAAGTTGCACTGCCCCAAACCCGTAAATCATGCCTTTTCCCCTTCTGTTTTGAAAAAGGGAAAAGTACCATTGGTCCTGCCAAAAATTAAAAATTTAAGATCTCTCCATTTCTTGTTATTTGTTAATCATTCAGATTTAAACTTTCATTAAGATCACTTTTTTGTTAAGTTCAAAAATGCTATGACACGGAACTTCTGGGTACATATGTGGAAGGACTGGGAGTGGGGCTCCAGCCGATACTTGAATGGTTGTGCTCAGGGCAAAATTATGCACAATGGCCAAAAGACAGAGGTGTCCACTGTCAGTGTCATGTCCACTGACAGGAATCAACACATCCTTAAAAAGGAACATGTTCTGTCATGTGCAACAATGAGGATGAGCCATGAAGACATTCTGCTAAGTGAAACAGGTCAGCCACAAAAGACAAATACTGTATTCTGTAAGTCCACTCACATGAGGTCGTCTAGACTAGTCAAATTCATAGAGAAAGTAGAATGGAGGTCCAAGGGTCATGGGAGGAGGGAATGGGGAGTTAAGTGTTTAAGGGTTACAAAGTTTCCAGTATATTTTACCACAATGAAAAAACTCCATGAGATCACTCCTGCATATCTTCTTGTAACACATCCAAACAAGCAACCGTTAGCTATGCATGGGATGCATAAAAAGGCAAAGCATTAGTCTCATTTCTTACCAATTCCACTATTTCTGTCTTCAATCCCAGCAGCTTCTTTTCATTCAATGAATACTGAAATGAATACATAAGATAGGTGAGATTCTGATCTACTCCTGTCTCTTCTCTGGTGTCTTAAATATTCTGGTTTCAGTACTTCCTAGAATGCCAAACACCAGAAAATCACCTCTAGGACAGAGGACCCTGCAGCCCCTTTCTTTTTATCTGTAACTTGAGGCTTCTCTCATATACTCTCTCATTGCTCTCATGAGTGGATTCCTTTTTGTCACCTGCCACTATCTCTGCTATGTTTTTTTCTTTTCATCTCTTCTTTGTGGTATTTCTAGCCCCTTCCCCCATTAGAACCACATTTCCTGGACCTGTTTAGACGGATGCTGCACCACATGCCTTTTGGCTTCAAGGGGGTTGAAAATGGTGGAGAACCAATTTAATTTAGGAGGTCTCCCATCATAACTACAAACAAAAAGGTCACCCGTGAGGCTCACAGAAAAGACAGGAAACAGTGTAATGTCGGGAAAAATTAGCTCCAAGATATTACGTGACAAAGACACTGTATTGTGTGTATAAAATAGAACATAAATTCAAGAAATACACTAAGCTATCACATGTCGATTTTAATAATAAACCAAAACCAAAAGCCCACTTGGGGATAATCACAAACCAGTGTTGCTACAAGAACTGGTAAGTTCTACCCACAATTAAGATGGCTTATTGCCTTGGCTATTAATGTCAGTGAAAAGGTTTAGTATAGTCTTATTGACACTAAAATCAAAGTCAGACATATTTCCTTAATAGCGGGCATTATGATTAACTAGCAAATGACAACCTATGGTTCAAACGAAGATGTTTAAAGCCTAAATTAACATTGTTATAGGAGAAAAAGTTAATACTCTGTATATCTAGAAGATTTCTAGCTATAAACTGTTCCTGTAGAACTATGAGAGAGATAGAATGTAAAAACAGCAGTGCTTAGAAGTAAAATCAAAACCCCCAAAACTCTCAAACTCCAAACTAAGGGCCAGTCAAAAGAATAAAGAACAATGCCCTGTTATGTAAGGCAGGGTTTCAGACCAGGTGAGTGCTATGCATCAGATCACCACCAGAGGGTAGGGTGGAGCTGGGTGCGCTATATACCTTTAAGTGCTACACAGCAGTGACACTAATTTATCCAGTAGGGAAAGGCGTAAGTCTTGACATTACCACAGTTTTTAAAATAACACCTCTGTTGCTCCATCAGCCTCAAAACAGTTTATAAGCTAAACTGCTTTTGAAAAGCTGCCAATATCACCCGGCTTTTTTTTTGTGACACTGGGGATTAAACCCAATGCCTTGCACATGCTAGGCAAGTATTGTACCCACTGAGCTACACCCCCAGACCTAACTGAGTTTCTGAATTACTATCATAGCTTTATCAAAAGAATGAGAAGGTCAAGTAGCTCATCTTCATCAACATATGCTCAATACACACTAGTACAATGATGTCCAGCCCTGTGCTCCAGAGTAATCTAAAGTTAGAACTACCAAGAACACCCTAGTAAATCACAGAAATTCACACCCTGTATTTCTCAGTCTTCTAGATGCATTTCTTCCCAGCTTGGTTAGCTCTAGGCATACATTATCTTCCTTAATCTAGTAAATGCAGAGTTCTCCCTAAAAACACAACCGTGTGGAAAAGCTAACTAAGAGTTTCTCTTCTTCTAGACACTAGTCAAATGCTGGCAGTCATTAAACAGTTCAGAAATTCTTGGTGATTTAATCTTCATGGCTCAAAAGTACTGTAAGACTAGAAAATGGGTAACATGGGCATAATAACTATTTTGTATGACAAAGCTCAATGTAGCTTTTGAAATCCAGCAGCAGTTCCAAACACAATTATGTATTTGACTTTCAGTGTTAGTTTCATTTGTCATTACAGTACATTTTGATTAAGGGCAAATTGTGAAAAATGACAAGATGACATGTGTATCTAGTTCATGCTAGTGAAAAATGCTCCATATGCCCTATTTCTCATTACGCTAACAATAAAGAAAGGTACCTAACTGTGTTACCAAATCTGAAGAAAGACTAAGCAGTAAGACAGGTGAATACCAAACAGGTAAAACAGTCTCTAGAGGCAGGAGCAGGGTGCATAGGCAGGGGTATCACAGTTGCCCAGCATGAGTTGGGTTCCACCCCCAGCACAAAACAAAGACAAAACCAAAAATCTACTAGAGACAACCCATATATCTTCTCATTGTATTTAAAAGACAATATGGAAGTATGTTTTAATCTTGAAATTCTGTGTAGAATTCAAGATTATTTAACATTAATAATTTAATATTACTCAAGTCTGAAATAATCAACTTATGCAAAATTAGGGCCTGTAGAGATTTAAGTCAGTATTAAATAGGTTAACATTGAATTTAATGTCTTTATTATTGTCTATGTAACACATAATCTACTATCTCTGAAATAAACCACAAAAGGCTCAAATTTGATTTGACCAAAAATTTAATTTTAATATTACTTTTGAGAGCATCAAATTTAAGCCCTATGACAAAATATAATTAAAATAGTGTCTCACACTGGTAGATGTATAAATGTTTACCAGTACTTGTGACCTGCATATGAACTTCAACTCAAACAAGCATCCCATCTTGAAGAGAGATTAATTCATAATCTGCTTTTAAAGAAGGAACATACCAATTCTTTTACTCTGCTCTTTTCTAGATTGAAGTCTAATTTGGTATCTGTTCGGGCTTTGAACACTTCATCCTGGTCAGAGGACAAATGACAAAAAAAGAGAGAAATTCAAAGTAAGAAATCCAAACCTTGAGGATACAAAGCATGCAAATGGGGCCACCTGCTTCTTGGGTGATCCAACCCCGGGAAGGATACAGCCCTCTGGAGCCTTTGGAGGAATGGAGCTAGGGCCCAATGACATCAGGGGACTGTGGATAAGCCATGCTCAAAGTCAGCTGTCTGAGGTTTTCCTAGTTAGACTTGCAAGTGACCCCTTCTGATGGCCAAGCCGGGGGTTACTGCTGCCTTTACCCTCAAGACTCCCCATATCATCTCCCGCCTGGACTTTACGAATACAGTAGTTCTTAGACCACCGTGGAAAGCAAAGACAGACTCAAACAACCAAAACATTAAATTGCGGTTTAAGTAAAGCCTTCTCTCAAACACATGGCATTTTCTAAAGGCAGTCTCTTCCATCTGGCTAGAAAAATCTAGATTAAAAAATGATTTAGGTGGGCGTGGTGGTACACACCTGTAATACCAGCATTTGCAAGGCTGAGGCAGGAGGATCACGAGTTTGAGGCAAGCCTGGGCTACGTAGTAAGATCCTATCTCAGAAAGAAAAAAGGATGTAATTCCTCCTAAAACATAATTTTCTTAATGAATCTGAATACAGATACTGGTAATTTATTCAATGGCTGTGTTCTTCACTAAATCTTCCACTGTGTACTTTTCAAGCATATTACACAAACATCCCACAGAAAATTAAGTTTTTAAGAACATATGATGTATTTCTGACATTATATTAATAAGTTTATATAATTATAAATAAGTTTGCAAACAGGAAGTAGGATCTTACCATTACTTGCTGCTTTAACTGGTCTAGTTCAAGTTTTATTTTCTAAAAACACATTAAATAGAAACAAGTCAAGGATATATTTAGAAAGAAGGAAAGTATATAACAGTAAATATTACAACATGTATTTATGCACAGGTTCTCCAACTTCTTCCCTCGCTTGCCACAAACTGGGCTATGTTCAGAACACAGAACTGTCAGGAGTACTAAAATGTACAGGTAGATTTTGAAATTGTTTTAATTCATCTTAGAGATTACATAAAATTTGTAACACATTTGCCTTCATTGATCTTTAATATCCCCTGCAGGTTTTCTTTTCACTAATTCTGTCCTTAACTAGCTGATTTCAAGGATGACTTTGAGAGTTCAATGGGCAATAAATGGCCTTCCCTTCTGGGGCTCTAAGTAAGACTGAAAATAAAAGCAAGATGCAATGAGAGTTCTTAAATAATATGCCATACTTTTAAAAAGGGAAGGAATATTTTGTAGCACCATTTATTCATAACAACCAAAAACTGGGAAGAATTCTGATACATAGCACATGAGAATGGTCTGCATAGTCACATAACACCACAGACAATGGTGTGAAAAGATCTACTGTTACAAGGCATGCTGCAAGCTTTCAAGAAACAAAATCAGCCAGGACAGTGGTTTCTTCCTGTTATTAACACATTTTATGAGTAGTTCTGAAGTTTTACCTCATTTTCTGCTCTGAGGATGGAAAATTCACTCTTCTCCAAAATAATCATATCCTTCTTCACGTTAGCAATCTTAGACATAATTTGCTGAAGAGTGATTTCCTAGGAAAATGGAAACAAAACATAATCTAGCTCAGCCCCCAAACCCACCTGCTATTGCCTTTACTTGCTATCATATTAATGAGAAACTACAAGAATGGGGACAAGAAGGAGTTCAGTGAGGTCACCCACCATTCCAAAAGGAGAAAATGAACGATCACACATACATACACATCAAGTGAATCACAGGCAAGCGGTGGAGGGGCTACACCTCAACAGCATGTGTGTGCTCATGGCCACCCCTCTGTTTGTTAGACACTTGACCAGAACAGTGAGCTTTCAAGCAGGATGAGTCTATGACAGTTGACTAAATAGCTTTGAATAAATATTTCTATGGTTAAAATCAGTATATACTTTTTTTTTTTTAGCAGTACTAGGGTATGAACTCAGGGCCTTGTACTTGATAAGCAAGTGTCTCTAGTCCTTTTTGCTTTACTTTATTTTTTAGATAGGGTCTAGTGCTTTTTTGCCTGGCGGTGGCCTTAGACTGTGATCCTCTTACCTTTGCCTCTTGTCTAGCTAGGATTACGGACATGTCCTCCCCCACCATGCCTGGCCCGTTCTTTGAGATTGGTCTCACTATTTTTTTTTTTTCCTTCCCCAAGCTGGACTCAAACCTTGATCCTCCCAACTCCAGCCCCTGTGTTGCTAGGATTACAGGCTTGAGCCATCACACCGGCCCTATTACATACTTTTCAACAGAATATTATTTTAAAAATTATACTATCATTTATTAAAACTAAGTGCTTGAGGCAAACCTGGGCTACATAGAGATGCTGTCTCCATAAGAAAAAAAAGGGTAGTATAACTCCTAGAACATAATTTTCTTAATGAATCTGGATACAGAGATGGGCAATTTATTCACTGACTGCGTTCTTAGCAAAATCTTCCATTGTGTACTTTTGAGGCACATTACACAAACATTCCACAGAGTTAAGTTTTAAGGACCTATTATGTATGTTCTTATATTCTTATACACATCAGCTTGACTGCCCCTCTGAGCTAACCTGCTGCACTTTGGTGACCATGTCCTTGCAGATGGTGTCCATGTTGGCATCCATGATGTTGACCAGGGCAGATACAATGGTTTCTGCTTGTTGTGTTGTAAACCCTAAGCAAGTGCATAAACAAAAATAACCAGACTTAAAGAACTGCAGTTGTCAGAAGAAAACCCAGTCCACAGCAAATGCACACATTCCTACGAATTCAGAAGAAAGAAGGAGTGTGGCAGGGGTGTGAGGAGTTAAGAGTTGCAGGCTGCTGGTGTCTGTCTCTCTGACCAGTAGCAAACGTCTGCTCATCATCTCTAATGTCCTCCAAGCTAAGTTGTCAAAAATCTTGTTTCCAGAGAACATTTAGTGTCAGTGAGAAATGAGAAAGATTCAAAATTACAGATACAATGATGATTGTTTTGGTAATTTAACAAAGATTCACAGTAATGTTTGTTTTCTTCTTTATTTAAAAAAAATTTTTTGGCAGTACTAGGGAATGAACCCAGGGTCCCATGCATGCTAGGCAAGTGCTCTACCACTGGACTACATACCCAGCCCTTATTTTCTGCTTTATATATCTCTGTATTCTCTAATTTTCTACAGTGGATAGTTTCTTTAATTTTTAAAATGCATGCTAATAAAAATAATAATTTTCTTAAGAAGGAAAGCTCAATTACTATATTTCACATAAATCAGATTATTGACTACATAAAGGTAAATAATCTAGCTATTAGTTAATGTTAAAAGACAAAAATCAGTTCTTTCACTTTTCCTCCACAATTCTATTTTGGGGCACGCACATAGAAAACAAGAAATTCTTTGATGCTCAATAAATGATGGAAGTGATTTGAATGAAATGTATGCTCAGCAAGTCAACTCAGCACTGCTGCTGTTTTTAATAACTTTAAGACTGTAAGTTATGGACTGGAGGTGTGGCTCAAGTGGTAGATGGCTGCTTTGCAAGCACAAAGCCATGAGTTCAAACCCTAGTCCTAACAGATACAAAAAAGCAAAAGGATTATAACTCACAACTCATACTAGAAAGTAGGAAAACGTCTCCTTATCAATTTAATTTTAAATTCCCTAATTCTCATTTCCACTTTTCTCTTTTAGATTCTGAGCTGAAAGAAGTTTTGGTGAAAAGGGCTACTGTTTCAAGTTTGACCAAAAAACCAAACCAAACCAAACCTGCACAAATATATGGCATTTGGTAATTTTTCTGAAGTACACTATGTACATTATTTTAGTTAATACTCAGAAGGATCTTAGGATTCTTACTATATCCATGGTACGACTGAGAACTGAGCAGGGGAAAGGACTTCCATGGCTACACAACTGGAAGCTGGCAGCTGAACCCAAGAGCAGGCTTGAACCCAGGGCCTCTGACTACGTCACACATGCAGAGTGACTCACTGTGGTGCAGTCTCAGGTGTGTAAAGCACATTTACAGAGGAAGCTTTTCAAGTACAAACATGGCTAGCTACTTGGTGAAGTAAACACAGATACATTTGTTTCAAAGGCATAATTTAGATTAATTTGACATTCTGATTGAGATGTATGTCCCACAGAAGAGAGAATCCTAACTGGTAAATGTGTCTGAATGTGACAGGTGTGAGAATACACCTTATATTCTAAATGCACTTAGTGAATGACATACAGGCCAGAGTAGTCTTTTCTATTGGTAAATCAACAGCAGTAAGCAAAACTGTTAGCCAGAATAGTAAAAAGAGCACAGGAAACTGCAGGGATCAATAACTGCTGCTCAGCAATGTTTCCATTTCATAAAAGTTGAACAGCACACTGCATGCAGAGTAATGGAACTACACTTTGAGCTACAGACCCAGATGTCACAGGAATCATTGTGTTTTGCTGACTTGTGTCTAAATTTCTATCTATGACCCTCTACTTCAGTGGTGAAATTAAAAAAAATTCACTTTACTTTGACAAAGAGAAAAATGTGTAAAAGTTTCCTCTGTATTAACAAGGCAAAAATATTCTTAAGCAAAAAATGAGGACTTAAAAAAGAGACCAACTGAAAGTTTGCCTTAGACCTAAACACCAAAGAGAAATATGAGAAAATAAAGGAAGCCACCAAGCAGCCCCGATTGCTCGTGCTACTCTACGGCCAGGAGCACTGAGGGAGGATTACCATTTCCTTCCAGGAGGCACACTAAGGCATGGGTGTCAAAGTAGAGCTTCCGATTCCCAGCAGAGTTGAAATTTCTCCATCTGTGCTCCAGCTGGAGGCACACAGCAGACAGGCTTAGCTCTAGAGGGGAGAGGAGAGGAAGTCCACAGCAGACTTAGTGCTAAATAAAGCAACTCAGCACCCCCAAAGCCTACCTAGATTTTAATAACTTTTTTGGGGGGGGGTGGTCCTGGGTTTTGAACTCAGGGTCTCACACTTCCTATGCAGGTGCTCTACCACTTCAGCCATGCCCCAAGCTCTTGTTTGTTTTAGTTATTTTTTTAGGTAAGGTCTGTGTTTTTCCCAGGGACCAGTCTCAGTCCACAATCCTCCCAAGTATGGTCTCCCTTGTAGCTGGGATCACAGGCTTGTGCCACCATACCGTTTATAGATTGAGATGGCCTCTCTAACTTTTTGCCTTGGTTGTCTTGAACTGTGATCCTCCTAATCTCCACCTTATAGGCTTGAGCTACTGCTCCTCGCCTTTTAATAACCTTGCAATGGAGATACAACTCACTACACAATTCACCCATTTCAAGTGCAGAATTCAATTGTTTTCAGTATATTTACAAATTGTTCAACTGTCCCTAATCAACTTTGGACCACTTTCTTCACCTCAAAATGAAACCGCACCCTTTAACCATTACCCTCCAATTTCCCCAGCCTTTTCTCATGCTCCCAATCACTACCTAGACAGCCACTGATCTATTTCCTGTCTCTACTGTCTGCTTTCTCTGAGAGTTCACATAAATGGAATCACACAATGTGTAGTTTTGTGATTGGCTTCTTTCACTTAGCATGTTCTCTAGGGCTACTGAGTTGTACAAAAATGTCAGCCCTTTATTTCTTTGTATTGCTGAGTAATATTCCATTTTACAATTAAATCAAATTTTGTTCATCCACTCATTAGTTGAGTAACACAGGTTGTTTCCATTTCTTGGCTATTACGAGTAGTCCTGTGGACACTATGTTTTCAGTTCTCTCTAGCATATGTCTAGGCGTGGAGTTGCTGAATCACATGGGAACTCTATGTTTAACTGTTTCAGGAGTTGCTCAATGGTCTCCAAAGTCAGTGCTCCACATTACATTCCCAGCAGCTGTGTCTGAGACTTCCAATCTCTCCATAGCTTCACCATCACTTGCTATTATCTGTTCTTTAGTCATAATCATAGTGGTGTCTCCTTGACTTGCATTTCTCTGATAGCTAAAATGCTGGACATCCTGTCATGTGTTTACTGGATACTTGCATATCTTCTTTGGAAAAACATCTTTTCAAGTCTTTGGCCTATTTTTAAGTAGGTTTTTTTTTGTTAATATTGAACAGAAAGAGTTCTTTACATATTCTAGATCCAAGTTCCTTATCAGATGATAATTTGCAAATATTTTTTTTTTTTTTACAATCCAGTGTCTTTTGAAGTACAAAAGTTCAATTTTGAACACAAGGTCCTCACCCAGGCACTCAAAGCCCTTCCTATTTCAGCTTCCTAGCTGTCTAACCTATTTTGTTTTCTGTACTTGCATGCCTTACATCTGGCTTGAGCCACTTTCCCAGTTGTTACATTTTTAGCATGCTTTTATATCCTTCTTCATTGAATTAGGCAATTTACCAAGCACACATTATGATCCAGCCTGGCACTGTTACAGTTTATAGTTCTTTCTGCTTCCTCCACCTAGGGGAGGGAGCTGTCTTTATTGCTCCCTCATTTGTATTCTCAGCTCAGTACAGGTAGCTGTGTTACCGCACTTATTACTTTATTTCTGCATTTGTATCATCTAGTAGTCCAAGCTGTCTAAGAGCACCACTCTTAGTCACTTTTTATTTTTAGTGTCTAGCAGAGGGCCTGGTATACAGCAAGCCGGGAATAATGTTTTATTTTCTGTAATTGAACTATCATGACTTCTAAGATCTGGATTATGAAGCTTCCTAGAAACTTTGAGACCAACTCCTTTATCCTCTTCACCTTAAATCTTCCCTTTTCACCTAAAGGAGCTCACCTAAATCTGATAACCTTTTTTTTTTTTCATCATTGATCTCCAGCCCAGGAGTAGAGTTGGCATCCTCAGGAAGAGACCCAGAATGTCTGCCCAGCACAGCACAGGCTTAGCTCTAGAAACTGGTGAGTGAATGATTGAGAGCACTTGCCAAGGGACCCTCTAAGGCCACCTTGCCCCAATAGAACTGTGCTGGACTGTCCATTGGATCAGAGAGCTTGAAGACACGAATGTAGAACGGCTTGTGAGAAGTGACACAGTCCTTGTAGTTCCAAATTCCTTGTTTCTAATAATAACATAATGATTCATATAATTTAAAAAAATGAGCAACCTCTTAGCCTCACCCACATTTACACATCCACAAAACGAAACAAAAAACAATCACACCACTACTTTCTAAGTGAGAGCTAAGGTCATTTTGGTACACACACACACACGTAAAATATATACATATTTCCAAAACCCACTGGAGCCAAAAATAGCAAGCTTATTTCAAAGAAACACTATCTTGTGAAAAGTGGGGAAAAGGGCTGGCCACTTCCCACTTGGCACTCCACTCCTGTTGAAGGGAGTGTCATCATGCCTTGGGTCAAAGACCAACACCAGAGGACACAGCAGTACTCTGAATTCCCACTAATAAGCAGGAAGCAAGTGATTTTAGAGACTAACAGAGTAGCATGTAATTCTCCTTCCTGGGGACCTTCAGCATAGCAAAGGGTATTGAAAACCCACAATTACAAGAGAGGTCCAATGTTGGCCTTGACAGATGAAGAAACCACAGACAAGCTTCCTTCTCATACATCTGTAAGTGGCCTACTAAGAACCTCACACACCAAGCAAACGCTGGGCTGAGAATAGAGGACCAAAGAGCTCATTAGCTGATGGCTAGTGGGCAGACGTGCTTCCTTCCATCTCCCTGTTTTTCTGCATCTATCCTCATTTTATGACTGAAGAGTGAGGTCTTTGACGCCAGCAAACCAACAGGAAAGAAACTCTTCATTTGCCCACTCTTGAGTTATAAGAGGAAAACAAATTGAAAGTTAATGCCTTGTGAAAAGCACAGAGAAATGCAAAATACAGAAATAAAGACCAAACCCATCTACGGGTCTTAATTCCTGCAGGACACCGACATAGCGTTCACTTCTCTCTCCCCCGCCATCCCGTGTCTAAAACTTCCTTCACTTTGTTTCTCCCCCAGTCAATGGAATTCTTAAGTTCTAGATGCAGCCAACACACACTGAGCATTTCTGTTGGAAAAAAATATGAAAAAAAAATGTGGTTACTGATGGCTCTGAATGGCTATGCAATGATCACCCAAAGTGATACCTGTGTCAAGTTTGTACAATATTTTTATCAGTACATTGCTTGGAGCAAAATTAAGCCTGATTACTTCTCTAATCCTACCCAGGGCAGTGGTCGCCCTCCCTTCCTTCACGTATTTAATAAATGCTCCCTTCTCAAAGAAACCCATTCTGATCACCCTATTTAAATTCACAACTGGAGGTCTACTCCACCTCCTATTCCTTAGTCCCTGTATTTTTTCCTTTAACACTTATCAAATTATGCTGTAAAAATATATGCATAAAGCATACACAAATCACACACGTTTTACTGCATCTCCTCCGTTCAAATGAAGCTGCAGAGGGAAAAGATGTTGTAGAAAAGCGCCAGGCACAGAATGCGCGCTAGTGGTCCCTGAATATTCAGTTTGCAATCAAATTGTAAAGCAATCCCTCGGCTCCCCAGGGCTGCTCTCCTCCGACATGCACCCCCTTTCTCCAGGGGCGCCACGGACCCAACAGACCACACCTGCAACAAGGTGAACACTGGAGCGGGGCACGCACCGCGTTCCAGGCGGTTATTAAAACGTGAGGGCAGCCACCTGGTGGCGGGGACTTCCAGCCTCGGCTCTGCTGACGCGACTAGCCCAGGGTTCCACCCCTGAGCGGGAGGAGCCCGGTGACCTCGGCTGACCCGCCCTCGGGTTCCACCCGCCCCGCCATCCCGGCCCTCACCTCTCCTGCAGGAAGCGAGGGCAGCCGCGGGGCCCCGGCCCAGGTGAAGGGTGCCTGCCGCGCCCGCGAAGCCTGACGCGCTCCTCCACGCGCCGCAGCGTCCGGCCGCGGGGACGGCCAGCCCGGGCCGCGAGCGCTCCCAGTCGGTCAGCGGCCGGCGCGGGGCAGCGGCGGCCAGCCGTGGGGAGGGCACAAGCAGGAGGAGGAGCAGCGGGGAGGCACGTGACGCGCCGCCACCGGCCGCCCGGGCGCGGGTCCGCAGCGCCCCCAGCCCGCCGGGCAGCAGGGAGAGGCCGCGACGCACCGCAGCTCCGCGGCTGCCGGGACTTCCGCAGCAGCCCGCGGGCAAGAAGAACAGGAGCCGACGACGGCCCGGCGGGCGCTTCGGCCTCTCTTCCGAGACCGAGCCGTAGTCCATCACCGAGCCGGTCACAGGCCCGGGCGCGCGCTCATGGCACTCGCTCGCGGCCCGGGTCCGCAGTCAGACGGCAGCGCGAACCGCCCGCCCATTCCGGCTGGGTGCGCGCCGGAGCTAAAGCCTTGCCATAGCCCCGCCCAGCAAGTGGCCCCGCCCACAGTTGTAACCACGCCCCTCTCCTGGGCAGCCCCGAGGCCCGACCTGCTAGCACTTCTCGGAAACCTAGAGAGTTCAGTTCTGCCATAATTTACATATTCATTACACTGCTGTCCTTAAAAATGCTTATGACTCCGCTGTCCTTGGGAGTCCTGTGAAAAGTCCCTGGCCACCAGACTGCCCTGGATTTTACTGATTACGCCTGTCCTAAGTCCCCTACAATGTGACTCCGGTGCATCTTAAAGGAATTCTCGGTGCTTTCGTAGTCAATGCATTTAAAGGGTAAAATTTCAGAGTTTTTGTTCTGGGATTAGAGCACTGTAGACGTGAGAGGGTCATAATCTGGGAATTTAGAATGTGGTGCGTGAATGTTAAATGAGACCTACCGGTATAATGAAAGAACATTTGAAGCAGGCAGTGTTGAGAAGTTTTTGAATGGCTATTACATTTATCCCAGTTACTGGTCCCTTGTGGAAACTCGGAAATGTGTGTTGAGTGGACGGATGAAATACACAGGGCAGCAAACTTGGAGATAGAAGAACAAAGATTGTCGTCTTCCCAGAGTAAACAGAAATTAGTACTTTTTGTGGTTGAGTACTATCCCATGTCGACATACACGATGAAGAATGTGTTAGGAGACACAAGAGAAGTACGAAGTGCTGGAAAGAGGAGAGTGCAAACAGATATGGACGATCTGCTAGTGCCTATCGAAATATAAAGAATTAAGAATAAGGTGCAGGACTAGGAATGGTAGCACATGACTTGAATCCCAGTAGCTAGTGGAGAGGGGGAGATAGAGGGTTCGTTGTCTGAGGTCAGCCAGAGCCAAGTTAGCTGGAGACCCCACATGAAAAACAAACTAAGGGCAAAAGGGCTGGGGGTGTGTGTGCAAGTGGTAGAGCCCTTGCCTAGCAAGCAGCAGGGGTCCCGAGTTTATTTCCCAGCACTAGGAAAAAAAAAAAATCCTGTTAGGTTGCTTTTATACATCAAAATGTTGAACATTGGTAATTTAATCTGTATCAGCCTAATAGATGCACAAAGATATTCATTGTAACATAATTTGTGATTCTGAAAATGTGCACAGTGTTGTCCAATTTTGGAGGTCTGGTTAAATGACCATAGTACAAACATAATTTTTCAAAAAAATTGAGGTATAATTTGCATACATGAAAGTCCACAGTTCTTACATGTAATTAAATGTAATTATATATACATATAATTATATATACCGATTGTATATACCATTCAAAGAAGGCCTTAGATATTTCTATCACTCCAGAATGTTCCTTTGTGTTCTTTTCCAGTTTTCTAACCCCCCCCCCCACCACCAGGCAACCATGTTCTGATTTCAGTCACCACACACAAAACTTCATAGACACTGCCCAAATGTTTTCCCAAAGTAACTGTATCCTTTTATCTTCTTACCAGCAATGGATGAGAGTTTTAGTTTATATCCTTGCCAAATTTTGATGCTTTTGATCCTTATGGAATGGTATCCAATTGTGATTTTAATGTACATTTCCTTGCTGCCTAAAAATGTCAAATAACTTTTCATATATTATTTATTTCATCAGTATCAAATGCAATAATAGATTTATAGTGCTTAGTTCTGTGCCTGGCATATAGTAGGAGTATAATAAATGTCAGATTGGATAAACCAGTAACACCTATTGCTTTGCTAGCCAAAACAATCCGTGTTATAGTCTCAGGGCCCTAGTTTTTCATGATGGGCTGCCATGTGGCTTAGGTGGGCAGATTTTTTCCTAGGCCACAGGCATGGGTATGTCACCTAATCACATTCTGCAATTTAGAATTTTTATAGAAAGTGTTGGGAAGGAGGTGGTTGGTCTTGTTTTATCATGATGTCTAGGTAGAGGATGATTTGTACCATGAACTCCTGGAGCTACAATGTGATCTAAGACTGAAGCCATTATGGAGAAAAGCTGAGTTGAGAGATGAACAGTCAGTTTTGTTTCAGTTTCTTGTCCTAGCTTATCCTGAAATTGACATCTTTATTTATGTAAGCCAATAAACTGTTTTTGCTTAAATCAGCTAGAGTAGAATTTTATCTTTTATCCTGATGAGCACAGGAGTCTAATGATCAAACTTCATATGGGCTTTAATGACCAATGAACAAGAAATATCAATTAATGGATCAGGCAGGAGCCAAACAATCCTCAGGGTTCAGGACTTTCTGACAAAGTTGGACTGGAGAATGTCCTTGGACCTGGGGTCAGAGCGGGGTCCTCTTGCCCTCTCTCCACATCTAGACCCAGGGTCTTTCCATGAGCAGAGTGGCTCATGGTCACTGAACTGACCCTGCCTTTCCCACCATCTATGAGAACTATAGGTGAGCCATACATCCTCTGCATGTTGTCAGGGAAGAAGAGGTAGAAAATGACCAGAGCTGTCCCTGGAAGACACACTGGGACTTATCACCTGGGTTTACCAGGTGGCGACAGAAAGGTCATTGTCCCTTTTGTAAGCAGGTCAAAGAATAAGGCAGTTGAGGCATAGTTTCTTTAGCATAGTGAGCTCCTGACTAGTAAAGATTGACCAGGGGAAATCAGCTTCCAGTAACCAAATTACTACTGTCCCTAATTGAAGAGTACTGAGGAGTAAGGAGAGGATTCTAGTTCTGGTAAAACTAAACACACTCCATTCCATCTCTCCAACTGAAGGCAGCTGTAAAAGCTGCCCAGAATGTAAAAAGCCACTATTTGGGGAATGAAAAATACTGTTAGGCAGATAAGGGAAGAAGAAAAAAATCTGAAGTTACATCAAACTGGTGTTGAGTTTATCATTTTTTTCTAACTTCTGGTATCCCCTAAACCTATATTGTCAACTCAGAATTCTATATCCAGAAAAAAATACTCCTTCAGAAATTAAGTTGAAATAAAGCCATCCTCAGATGGCAGAATCTAAGAGAACTTGTTGTTAATGGACTTGATCTGAAAGCAATTGCTAAAGGAAATTTGCCATGTAGGATAGGAAAACAGTTTATTCTGAGCCAAACATCAGTGACCATGGCCCAAGAACGTGAATTTAAATTTCTGTAAATGATTCCAAGATGGTGGCTAGAGGTACAAAGCAGAAAGCGACCCTCCTATAGTGAAATCTTGGAGAGATGATGGAGACACACTTTGCAGGCATAATCACCGAGAAAAGGCATAACTTTGACCCCACCACATCTCCAGCCAGTGCAGAGAATCTCCACTTCACGTTAAACGGAGAACTGAGGAGGGCCCCCGGGGCCGCCAGTGGCTGGCGCCCATACAGCTTGGGAAGACGTGGACCAGATGAGCTTCACGGTACCGCGGTTCCCCCACAGACAAGCCTGGGCCAGAGCAGCATAGCCCCCTGGACAGACTGACCTCCACACGGGAAAAAAAGAGAAACTGAGTAATAAGCAATAAGAACAGTTAAGACATGCTGGAAAGAGGGTGGGGCGCCCTGAGCGCTGAAGATTGGGGGAAGGGAATCCTTCCCGGGACTGTAAATAAACGAAGCCGGGCGGCCGGAGAGCTCTGGCAGCGGGCACGCCCAGCAACCAGGAGCAGGGACGCTTGTGAGAGGAGGGAAGACCCACTTCCCACGTGAACTGTAAATAAACATGGCGGCTGGCAGGAGCAGCAGCACCGCCCAGTAAGCAGGAGCAGGAAAGCTGCTGAAAGTGGCAGGGAGGAAACTCAGAGGAGAGGGGGGAAGACCCACCTCCCACATGAACTGTAAATAAACACGCAGGCCTGACAACGCGGGCAGTGTCACCTTTCCCAGTGCTTGGAAAGGGGAAAGCCTGTAGCAGAGGCTCCCGCACAGGAGAACTCTGAGCAAACAAAGCCTGTGGACCAGGTGAGTGCTAGCTCACCCCAGAGATCTGCATAAATAACGCCCTAGCTACAGGCTGAGAGCAGCAGGCAGGCAAGCCACAGTTGCAGATACCACTCTCAGAACTGTCTCCAGACGCTTTTTTTTTCTTTTTCTCCCTACCTTTGATGAGAGAACAACCGAATTACACCTGCAAGCAAAAAACTTACTGAAACTGTATTGCATTTGAACTTGGGACACTTGGGGGCTTTTGTTTGTGTGTGTGTGTGTGTGTGTGTGTGTGTGTGTGTGTGTGTGAGTGTGTAGTTTTGTTCTTTTATGCATCCCCTTTGATGAGACAACTACAGAACAACATCTGAGGCACCAACTCCAGGACTGGAGATTGAGACGGACACCCAATTATTAAGACTGAAACTGCATTGCATTAAACTTGGAAGTTTTTTTGGTTTTTTTTTTTTAATTTTCTATTTTCCATTTTATTTTAATTCATTTTTATATATAGATATTACTTTCATTTACTTATATTTTATTTTTTTTATCTTTGATTTTCAATCCTCTCTCTGTCTCTCTAATGTCTGTTCAGCTTACTGTCGATTAGTACACTAACACTCCCTGTTTATACCTTTGAAACTCTCTTGTCTGATACCTTGTTCTGCTTTCTCCCTCTTGTCTGTATTTGTTTCCCTTTTCTTTAACTTCTTGCTTTCCATCTCAGCTCACTCTTCCATTCTAAATATTACCATTGTTATTATTACAAGCTAGAAAATACTTAATTCACACAGTACAGGACAGTAACAACACCAAGGACAATGACGGGAAGACAGAAAAACAGGGAAACCAGTTTCCCCACAGCAAAAAATTAGTACAGGAACCAGAGGGGAATGAAGAGAAACAGAAACTCAGATCCAGACTCCAACAAAATGAAGATAAACTATGCCAAAGGACCCAATGAAGCCCACAAGAATAATTTAAAAGAAGACATACTACAAGTACTCAATGAGAATTTTATAGAGATGATACTGGATAGGGTCAACCAAAATGTACAGGAGACACTCAAGAAATTCCAAGAACAAAAAATAGAGAATTTGAAAA